ACTCCTTTTTAACAAAGTGAGGGAATGAATGGTATAGATTCCATACTTCTTTTTAACAAAGTGAGGGAATGAATGGTATAGATTCCATACTCCTTTTTAACAAAGTGAGGGAATGAATGGTATAGATTCCATACTTCTTTTTAACAAAGTGAGGGAATGAATGGTATAGATTCCATACTCCTTTTTAACAAAGTGAGGGAATGAATGGTATAGATTCCATACTCCTCTCCAACAAAGTGAGTGAATGAATGGTATAGATTCCATACTCCTTTTCAGCAAAGTGAGGGAATGAATGGTATAGATTCCATACTCTTTTTCAACAAAGTGAGGGAATGAATGGTATAGATTCCATACTCCTTTTCAACAAAGTGAGGGAATGAATGGTATAGGTTCCATACTCCTTTTCAACAAAGTGAGGGAATGAATGGTCGCCATTCTCCCTCTCCTCATCCACCTCCCCTCCCCCCCCTTCTCACCTCAGTCTCTCCAGTTTATAAATAGACAGTAGGTAGGTGCACTGTGCAAAGTTGAGCCGGTTCACGATGGTGTTGACCTCTGGGTTGTCCAGCTGACGGCAGATGTCAGCACGCAGCTCGGCCAGCTCGCTCTGGGGGGACAATGTGGAGGTCGAGGGGTCAGGGACAGTGTGGAGGTCAAGGACAGTGTGGAGGTCGAGGGGTCAAGGATAGTGTGGAGGTCAAGGGGTCAAGGACAGTGTGGAAGTCAAGGGGTCAAGGACAGTGTGGAGGTCAAGGGGTCAAGGACAGTGTGGAGGTTGAGGGGGTCAAAGGACAGTGCGGAGGTCAAGGGGTCAGGTGGTGAAGAATAATGTTACAGCGAGGCAAACAATTATTTTAAAAACCCTCACCGGAGAAATTGCACTTTTCTTAACTCATTTTCTGCCCATTTTTATACCAGCTTTCACCGGTTTTCTCTGTGCATCCGGTGGTGAATGATAGGTGTGTATGTTTGAGAAGGATTTTCCTCACGGTGACACTGTGTCGTCCCGGAGTGCTCTGTTATAGAAGAAATAGAGAGAGAGAAAAAATGAGAGAGACAGAAAGATTAAAAAAATAGAGAGATAAAGAAACCAAACCCTCACCGGCGACACTGCGTCGTTCCTGAGTGCCGTGTTATAGAGCAGCTCCTTGCTGATGTGTTCCTTGGAGATGAGCAGGGGGGACTTGGTAGCGATGAGACATACACCCTCATACCACTCGGGGGGCCACAGACCTGTGGAGGGTGAGTGGAGAGTGAGGAGGGGAGGAGGAAGGGAGGGGAGGGAAGAGGGGGAGGAGGGAGGGAGGGGGAG